AAAATATATGAGATTAAACATCACATCAAATGACTAATAATATAAAAAAACCATAGATTGTGATGTATAAATTGAAATAGTTATATGAGATGGATATTATTAAATTGACTTATGTCTAAATGAAATATACAGCAGTAATAATGACATCTGTAAAATCAGTAATTAAAATGTTGGAAGTATGACTTATACTAACGTATGTAGTAAAATCAGTTTGTGTTAGTTTACGCTTCTGTAACAATATAACCTTGTGACACAGATGTTTCATTTTACAGATTATGTCTTGGCTAATATATAGTGTTCCATAGCTGTTCTTTGGTAAAATGGGCATTTATTCTGGAATTCTTTATTTGTGTTGAAGAATTAAAAGCACAGTGCAGAGTATGTGGTATAATACTTCCTTTTCAAATTGCATGTTTCCTGTCATGACTACTATATTTTGTGTGTTCCAGGACATTTTGGAAAAGTTGGAGAAAGGTCAGGAACAGATTGATAAATTCAACACAACAGCATCTGCTTTACTGTCCTCACATTTAGACACCTATGTCAACAATCAGTTAAGACATCTTAATTCCCGATATCAGGTTTGTTCTTGATGACTTTGTAATTCTTTTAAAAATTACGATTTTAGGCATTATTTTGAATTTGAAATTACTTTCTAAATATTTCTCTTAATGCAGGTACAAGTGAATTTGGCTAAAGATGTCTTAAGAAAAGTGGAGACAAATCTGGAACAGCATCAAGAGTACAGTGAAAACTATGAGAAAGCAAAGGATTGGATTGAAAATGCGAAACAAGTAATCTGGGATTGCAGTGAAGCTTCTTCACATAGCAGCCGGGAAGTGTTGCAGGCTCGCTTGGACCAGGTTCAGGTAAGCAGAAACCATGCTGATGTTTCCAAATTCCAGTTTCTGTTTGAAGTAATCTTCCATTTGTCCAGCTATTATTTCTTTTTTTAAAGAAAGTAGTAATACAATAAGTGCTTTAAAATTTCCTTCTTGGGAAATGTGTTCTTAGTATATTTGCAAGTACTGTACAATAATTTATCCAGACAACAGGTTCTTAGCTTATCCTCATACACTCTTATTAACGACTGAACTTTTTAAAAAAATTGTACTCTTGAATTTCGCTTCAGTGATACTTTGAAAGGTATAAAGTCACTTTTGTGATGCCAGAGTGGCATAATGAAGTTCTACAAATATTTCTCTTCTTGAAAGTTATAAGGATCATCACTTCTGATGTGTGTACTGTTTTTTAATTCTCTTTTCTTCCTCTTTAGCTTTAAAATTTGCTTTAAAATTTCCTTCTTGGGAAATGTGTTCTTAGTATATTTGCAAGTACTGTACAATAATTTATCCAGACAACAGGTTCTTAGCTTATCCTCATACACTCTTATTAACGACTGAACTTTTTAAAAAAATTGTACTCTTGAATTTCGCTTCAGTGATACTTTGAAAGGTATAAAGTCACTTTTGTGATGCCAGAGTGGCATAATGAAGTTCTACAAATATTTCTCTTCTTGAAAGTTATAAGGATCATCACTTCTGATGTGTGTACTATTTTTTAATTGTCTTTTCTTCCTCTTTAGCTTTAAAATTTGCTTTAAAATTTCCTTCTTGGGAAATGTGTTCTTAGTATATTTGCAAGTACTGTACAATAATTTATCCAGACAACAGGTTCTTAGCTTATCCTCATACACTCTTATTAACGACTGAACTTTTTAAAAAAATTGTACTCTTGAATTTCGCTTCAGTGATACTTTGAAAGGTATAAAGTCACTTTTGTGATGCCAGAGTGGCATAATGAAGTTCTACAAATATTTCTCTTCTTGAAAGTTATAAGGATCATCACTTCTGATGTGTGTACTATTTTTTAATTGTCTTTTCTTCCTCTTTAGCTTTAAAATTTGCTTTAAAATTTCCTTCTTGGGAAATGTGTTCTTAGTATATTTGCAAGTACTGTACAATAATTTATCCAGACAACAGGTTCTTAGCTTATCCTCATACACTCTTATTAACGACTGAACTTTTTAAAAAAATTGTACTCTTGAATTTCGCTTCAGTGATACTTTGAAAGGTATAAAGTCACTTTTGTGATGCCAGAGTGGCATAATGAAGTTCTACAAATATTTCTCTTCTTGAAAGTTATAAGGATCATCACTTCTGATGTGTGTACTATTTTTTAATTGTCTTTTCTTCCTCTTTAGCAGGTTACCTGTTTAGTAGCATCTTCATTAGTTTAAATGATGTAGTTATGTTCTGTTGGTCCAGATTTTTTATCTACCTAAATATGAAATATATATGCACTGTTTTATTGGATTAGTTTTACATTCTTCAGTTTGTACTTTATAAAGTTAAAACGGATACTAACCCATAGTATTTTGTGAACTTCAGAGTCTATGTAGAGTTAATCTGTTGATACACTACAAAATTAATATTGTAGATTATGTCTAATACTGTGTATGAGAAGTGTATTTATATGACAGCTTTCAGGAAAACTAAATATGACATGATCTAAGCCTGTTTTAAAATGGTATTGTTAATGTGAATGCAGTTCCAGGATCAGAATCAATTGCAACCATGTCCACATCTTTAAAAAACTGAAATTTAGCTTAAAGTAGCAAAAATATGTTTATGTTAGAATTAGTTTCTTAATGTAACAGTCAAACCTCATAACTAGTTCTTTTGTTTTCAGAATTCTCTATTGGGATCATTTTATTTTCTGAATACAGTACAAGATTCTAATGTGTCAGAGTTGTTAATTAAGTAAGTTTTGCATTTTATTTTGAACAGGAATTATTGCGGAAGAGAGAGGAAGGTCAGAACCTCATTCATATGACTGTCAACTGTGGAGAGAAAGTGCTTCGTAATACTCGTTCAGATGGTCGAGACATCATTAATAATCAGCTTAAAGAAATACAGAATGATTGGGATCGACTTGTGAGAAAAATATCAACTGCTAAAGTTCATTTAGAAACAAGCCTACTGCAGTGGGCTGACTACAGTTCTTCATATTCACAACTTCAGCAGTGGATCACTGATCGTGAGGCCAAGTTGCAGCAAGTCTGTGAACAAAAGGTTGGTGAATTGTGTGAAAGAAAATATTTTGGATTATGTTGAGATATTGATCCCATTACTTCACTGAATCATGAATCTGCTTCAAAAGATCTTTTTGCAGGAATTATACGGGAATGTAATATGAGTAAAATGAAGCTGTGTATTCTACTCATCACAGGCCGTGGTTAATTCCATGCAGTGAATGGATGAATGAATATGTGTATCATTTTGAAATTTGTGACTTCTAAGATTTAACATAATTTAGAAAAGAAAATTCAGTTGTTTTCCTTGAAATGAAACATTTTGATACTTTAATTCAGGTTGTGATGCCCAGACTGACATACATCTTATTTAAATTTTAAATAACTGTCTGTAATATAGTTATCATCACACTTTCAATACCCCAACAACATTCTCAGTAGCTGGTGTTTGATTTATCTCTCCACAGGTCTCAAAAACAAAGAAAGTTCCAGCTGCAGGGCTGAGCTCTCTGAGTATAGGTGAAAGGAAGGCTACTCTGCGTCAGACCAACAGCATTGTTCAGGATATCGTGTCATTTGAACCAATGATTCAGTCAGTAACATCCAAAGCAGAGGATTTGTTACAAGCACAGCCTGCTTCTGAGATTTCCAGCAAATATGAAACACTGAGTAAACATGCCAAAGAATTGTATGCTAAACAAAAGGAAACAGTGGAACAGCATCAGGCATTTATAGATGCGGGTAATGACTTCATGCAATGGATTCGAGCAGCCAAGGAGAAACTCAGCAAATGTTCAGAGCCAACTGGTGACAAGGAATCACTTAGCAGTAAAGTATCACAATTGAAGGTAGGCATAGGCAACTGTAACTGTTTTAAACCATACACATTTTCAGACTTTAATGGAAGGGAATGCTTGGAGCTATACCTGCACTTCCTGCACATCTTCCTGCTATAGCTCCTAATTAGAGACACTGACAGCGTTACCTAAGTGACATGTTATGAGTACATGTGTGATATGTTAAATGTATCTAACTTTTGTATGAAAATCACAGCACATCTTGATGCAACTTCTTAACACATCTTCCCATACTAATACCAAGGGATTGTATGCTGTAGTGCTCTTTATGAAGTTGAGTAATCTTAATGCCAGATGCTTATCTGCCTTCTTCCTGTCTAGATGCAAGTCTGAGTTCCAGGTGCATCCTGTTTATGGTAGCTTTGCACCAAGAAACCTTTTCTTTTCATGAAAGGATCTTTTTTAGCATAATTCTGGAATAATTTTCAAGTTCACCTCCCTTTCATCCCTTAAATTGTTTTGCCTTAATGTAGTGCATAGCTCACACAGCTCTTAGCATGGCCTGTTCCAGGAACACAGTCCTTGTCGGCAAATAGGTTGTGAGGTTGTGGTCTTCCTCAGTCCTCCCAGGAAAACACCTTGATATTACCTTGCAGGACCATAATTGCTTCCTACAAAATCCTTTCAAATTTGTCATTCATCTATCATCCTACATTCATTCCTAAATAGTCTAGCTGCTGATAGTGTTGAAAAGTAACTCAAAATCCCCCTATCCAGTGAGAGAAATGTCTATATTAATAATTTTTTTTATCATTATGGGAGACTGAATTTAGATTTCCACATACAGTCATATTCTGTTTACCTCTGCAGTAAATTATAATGTTGCACCTGACTGTTGTGCAGGTGCTTGAATCGGAACAAGAGGAGGGCCAGAAAAAATTGGAGAAAGCTCTGGAACAAGGAGATGTTGCTTGTCAAGTTGCAGATCCAGAGGATAAGGAAGTAATTGAGGAAGAAGTTGGTCTGCTGCAAGAAGAATATGATACTTACATGTAAGTTGTTATATTGAAAGAAATCTTGGTGAAGCAAAATATAATACAATTAAGGTAAGTCATAAAGAGCTAATACTGTGAAACCTCTTTGGATTATATGGAAATCTGTTAAAGAAATGCAGTTTAGAGACTATAGAGTGGAAACCTATGTAAAATTATTTCTTATAAAAAGAAGTTGTTTCACATGGAAAGTTGTGGGGAGAACTGTCAAGAAACATTCCTATTACAAATGGGAAAAGAATTAAGTAGTCAGTAACAAAATAAATGCAGACTATATTTTAATGTACTTCTAAGGTAAAGGTAAAATGTAAAGATGTCCCTGTGCTTAATTGATTAAGCACTATGTCATGAAGGCATGTGGGAGAGCAGATGGATAGGTCCACATTTTCTTGACCTTGGCACTAGTTGGAGGAGAGTGGTCAGCTTCACTCCCCTGCAGCTTTACCCCATAGCTGGTCTGGAATATGTGGAGAAGAGAAAATTCTTGCCCTTACTAGGACATGAATTCCGACCCCTTGGTCGTCCAGCTCTTAGCCAGTCACTACATCAACTGCACTATCCCAGCACTTCTAGAAATGTGCAGAACACAATGTTTCAGAAACCGGATCTGTTTCTTCCTTCAAGTGACAGCATGTAGAGAGACATCTGGTGATTCGTATCTGTTAGAATGAGCTATTTTGAATCACAGGATCTTAGTTGAAAAGGTGAGGAGGAACATACTTCTAACAAGCCCAAATGAATAGATGCCTCCCACATTTTCACATGAGCTCCAGTGATTCAGACTGAAGTTTTTTAAATGGATCTAGTTGGTACAGGTGCCTCCTGACCTTTTCACCTGAGAAAGGAAACAAGTTTCTGAAATGCTTTTGGTGAGGAATGCTAGATGATGGACAAAGTCCAGAAACCTTATAATTCTTGATGTTATGTACCATTGTCAGAACCCTTTAAAATTAAAAACTTGGTTTCATTTTAGATCTCTTAAACTCTTAATTTGAAATATTTTACTTTCTTCAATTCAGTGAGTCTTTGAACCGAACCAAAAGTCTGCTGGAAGTTGGTATTGTTAAATGGACTGAGTATGAAGACCAGTACCAGGAAGCTTCTGATTGGCTTACTCAGACTGAACAAGTGGTACAGACATTCAATAAACTCCAGGACAGTTTAGAAGAAAAGAAAAATGTTCTGGAAGAATTCCAGGTAATGAAATTCCATAACAGCCATATGTTTCTGCCATTGTTGTGACTTGCAATTCTGTTTTTTTAAATCAGAAAAGCTTAGTGGTTACTGGTTATGTATATGTATATCTTATCTTGGTAGTTCATCAGCACCAAACCAAGAGATCATAAATTCATGACATTCACTCTCTCAAGTTCAAATGGAAACCAGTCAGACATGTGGTAGAATGTTGTTGTGTAAATTATATTTTTGATATGGCAATATGTATAAGGAATATTCATGCTGCCTCCTTTTATTGTACAGGTTCATCTGCAAACTTTATTTGATTGGCAAAAAGAATTAGATCGTCTAAATATGAAAGCTCAAATGTTGCTGGAGACTTGTGCTGACACAAGAGTCAGCAATGCTGTTACACAGATGACCACAAAATACAATGCTCTGCTGTCTCTTGCCAAAGAGATCATGAGGCGGCTTGAGCTGCATTATCAGGTACTGATGAGGCATTCCATTTTCTTTTGTTACAGGTTAATCAGATAATTACTGTGGCAGTAGTAGCAATTATAAATGACACATAAAAGTGATGCTTTATGTTGCATGCTTCACATGACTGTGTTTCAGGAGCACCAACAGCATAACACACTGTACCAGGAATGCCAGGACTGGGTCGATCGTACCAGAGATAAACTGAATGAATGCCTTGAAATCCCTAGCACCCTGCCAGAAGTTAACAATAAGTTGCAGACTGTAAAAGGAATCAGACAGTCTCTTGAACAAGGGCAGAACAAACTTAGGTATGATTTTGGTTAATTCTTTGTAGAATTGTGGCAGACATTTGCTGTTATCAAGCTTCTCTTCAAGTCACTGTATTTGTAATGTTAATTCTAAAAATTTATCATGCATCATGCAAGGAACTATGTTCCTTCTGCTCTGAGTTATTTGAGGAAATGCTTAGAACAGGGAGGTTAAGTGGTGATCAAGTGAAAAGGTAGTGGCCTTTTTTGTGGATGCTTTCATATTTCAGACCAAGCCAAAAGCAGTATAATTTTCTCCACTTTCCATCTTTTCCCTCTAGTGTCTTAAAAACTTGATAATTTTGTTACAGTTCATAGCCATGTTGAACTGAAGGTATCTATACCAGTTATTGTACTGATTTATTCATTCATATATCACCAGTTGGGATATGTAATTTGTCCATTGGAGCTCCCAAGTAATATAAATCTAACATTAATAAGGACTGGCATAGCTAGGCTTCAAGCAGCTTAAAACAAACAGCAATGAGATTTTTCATGATTAGTTATATTAGATTCCAAAGTTAATAGAAAGTCCGTCGAGTGTAACAGTTTGTAGGTCACTTCTTTATCACTTCTGCCTTACATGTTTCGGTTTGACACAACCATCATCAGAGGCACTTACTACAATTATGAAAACACTGTCGTTGTTTATGATGTTCACAGTTATGTTTGTTGTGTGGACGCTGCTACAATATGTTGACGTGTAAAAGCACAACACTTGCTAGGATAGTTGAGTACACTATCAATTCTCACTTTCCATCCGAAACTGTTTTTAAGTTAAAACGCTAATGTTAAAATATTTAAAATATTTAAAACATTTGATGTAAAATGCTAAGCTCCTCCTTGTGTGTTGTGTACTGTACACAACACACAGCACATAGGAAACATCTAACCATAAGCCATACAACCTCAAGCTGACATCTCCCATCTTCGGGATGAATTAACAAGGAGGAGCTTAGCATTTTACATCAAATGTTTTAAATATTTTAAATATTTTAACATTAGTGTTTTAACTTAAAAACAGTTTCGGATGGAAAGTGAGAATTGATAGTGTACTCAACTATCCTAGCAAGTGTTGTGCTTTTACACGTCAACATATTGTAGCAGCGTCCACACAACAAACATAACTGTGAACATCATAAACAACGACAGTGTTTTCATAATTGTAGTAAGTGCCTCTGATGATGGTTGTGTCAAACCGAAACATGTAAGGCAGAAGTGATAAAGAAGTGACCTACAAATTGTTACACTCGACGGACTTTCTATTAACTTTGTGATTGATAGTGTAACGGACCAAAAATGAAACAATTAAAAATATATTAGATTCCTTTTAAAATCTTTGGGCTGAATCCCATTCCCAAATTTTGTGGCTGAAGGAATTTGCTGTTTTCTTGTCAAGCAAATGCTGAGATATTGTTTTAATTCCACACCAGTCCTGATAAATATTTAATAAATTCGCTGATTTTTTAAACGTATTGTTTACATATTATGTTTAACTGAGTATTATGAACTCTCACAGGCTTCAGAATTGTATTTAGTCAGGGGCACTTCAGTTGACAGTATTTTCTGAGAGAACAGTGTCGTTTTGCTGCCCATGTCAGATATTATGAATAAAACATCCCAATGAAACAGCTATTCAAAACTATAATCAGAGATTAAAAATCAACAGTGAGCGCACTATGAGAGTCACTGCTTCATTTAATGGAATATTTTCATGTTAGCTAACAGATTCTTTTCTGTTATAATGCAATTCTGTGGAAACTTTGTGAGATATGTTCTTATGATACAAACATTTTCAGAAATATTTATGAGGGTGCTGAATCCAACTATTATTATTTAAAGTAACTGGGAGGTTAGAATGCAATGAATTATATTTTTAAGAAAGTTTTCTAACCTTGAACTGAATATCTCAACTATGTAGTTTTCTTTATTGACAGAGTACATAACAGCGGAAGTTATTTTCTTGCTCTTTAGGTATGCATTAGAACTGAAAGAAAAAGTGATATTAAACACAGAACAAAATGGAGCTGCAAAAATACAGGAAGATACAGAGAACCTGAAACAAGAGTTTGAAAAACTGATGATTGATGTTCAAGACCTAAGGCAGAAACTTACAAGTAGAGCTGCACAGTTGGAGGAAATTCAGAAGTTTTACTATTTAATTATTATGTATCAATATTTTGGGGGGGGGGGGCGTTATCCAGCTTGCAAATCCATGAACTGTATTTTTGTGATATAGTGTGTTTTTGTTTGCTCCTCATCTGAACAAAATTCAGTTATCCAGATGAGCATATTTTTCAGTTTCATTTTGATTTTGATAAGTAGCTTACTTGTTATTAATATAGTCCCTTATGAAAACTAATTGTCTATACTTCTCAGTTGTTACTAGTCAGTCTTAGTAAACATTGTGACTCACATAAGAAACTTCTATTTCATGTCTTAGATAGTGTTGAACAGATTTCAAGACCAGAAAATGAAAGATCATTCTTAAGCTGTAATGCTTTGTAGTATCAGAAAGCTGTATGAAAAACTAACATACATGTAAACAAAGATGACTTGTTCTCTGACAGTTTGCACAGACCACATTTTTACACAATGAGGAACAGTGGTCTTCTATATTCCATAATATGAAATAGATGGTTAATTTGAAACATGTTACATATGTATTATTTAATGTAGGCTCACAAGTTGCTTGCTGATTGGCTGTATGAAGTTGAACAGAAGGTGCAGTCAAATGAAGAAACCTTCTTGAATGATTTGAGTGAGAAGCGAGCAACACTAGAGAAGTTCCGCACTTTGCAACGAGACATCAACAGCCACAGTGAGATGGCAGATAGAGTGAAGAATCGAATTTCAGATGATCCATCTTTATCCATCAAGGATTACCAGGCTAGCATTAACAAGTATCAAACACTCAAGGACTTGGTTGCCAAGAATATTGCCGTAAGTGTACTTCTCGTATGAACACTTCTTCTTGAGGGGGTTTTTCCACTCCAAAACTTTTTTCATAATGTCATGATATCCAGCATGTTTCCCTACATGCCAGTTCTAGGTTTGTGCTTCCAAGGTACCTAGTTTAAATTCTGACCTGTGATTTTTCTCAGTTCCTTCGGGCAAACGTTATGGCAGTTCATTCAGCTGAGTCACAACTACTTAGTCTCACACTACTTCTGATACATTACTCGTAATTATTTTGTATCTTAAATATGACACTAAACATCTCAGCAGTTGACACAACATAAGACTTTTGTTTACTTACAGTTTATTTAATGACAATGTCAGACTCTGACTATATAGCATCAGATGGTAGGATGACAGGGATTAATGAATTGTGAAGGAACTGGAAGGAAACAGCTGTACTGTCATGTTGGATACTATCTTGGAATTTGCCTGGAGGGACTGTGGAAATCCTTAAAAGTCTTATTCAGGATAGTCATTGTTTTGGCTGAGGTTGGAACTGGTCAGCTGCAAGTCAGATGGGTTACTGTTTAAGTGAACTTGCTCAGTCAGCATAATGAACTAACTAAATAAACAAACCATTAATTTTCTTATACAGGTATTATGTGCACATATTTGTAAATGAATGGTAGAATGGTGACTAAATTTTGAAAATGTGAACTCTTGCTAATATTTACACTCACTGGTATTGCAATTTAATATTTCAGACTTTGGAGGAACAAGTGAAAGAACATGAACAGTACAAACAAAGATATATTGATGCATTCGACTGGGTTCGAAGGACTAGAATTGACATTCAGCAGTGTAGTGATCCTCACGGAGAAAAGGAACAGACAATTGAGAAAGAAAAGAAGATGACTGAAATAGCAGCTACAATGAACGATGGTAAGATTTCGTAAAGAAAAAATTGTAACCCATAAGCACTGGAGGTCTTATGTCAGTTTAAACAACTTGAAGGTGAAGGACATGAAGCTGAGATTTGTTAATTTTATGCTAATTGAACATTTTTTAAATGAGGAGTTAATGTCAACATGCTATACAAATTCTAATGGTAATTCATATGATCTGGACTCAACAGGTGAGAAGTTGGTTGAAAAAGCAATTTCTCTGAGCAGTACTGTCATGAAGACCACTGGAAATGAAGGCCAAGACACACTGAAACAGGAAGTCCAACAACTTAAAGCTGACTGGGAAAGTCTGAGGCTTATCTGCAAAGATTCACAGAAAGTTCTGTCCAAGTGCATAGCATCTTGGAGTGATTTTGCAGACACATTCGACAAGATGAAGTGTTGGCTTGATGCATTCCAGAAGAAGGTAGATGTTGAAGCTGAAGGAGACAAGAAGACTTCTGAAGAATTGCAGAGCTGTAGGGTATGTTACTTTAGTGAATAGATGGTGAAATACTATAGCTTTTGAGCTTTGATCGCTTAATTTCATATAGTTTGACTGTGATAGAATGTTTTTGGAATAAAGTAACTGTCCACTGTTGCCTGGAACTCAACAGTTTAATCTGAATTTGGTTAGAACATTTGACTGTGAATGATGATGTATTCTTATGTTAGATTTGAGGTTTTCATAATAATGACTGTAAGAAGTACATTCTTCTGGGCTGTATTGCCATGGTAGTTCAGAGAAAGTACAACATTTTAGAGAAATATGTCACTTCCATCTTCGTAAAGTAAGCCAAGTAAGAAACCAGCAGAAGTAGGTGGCAAGACAGAGGCGATATGTTCCTCAAACAATGAGCTATCTGTGAACTGCATGGGGTTACCAACTCAGGAGTTCATACTTTTCACCATGTATTTTTGTTTTGTTTAAAATAGTAATATACCAAAGAGATAATCAGGTTTGTATAATATATAAACCCAATGAAAAGCACGAATAATATTAATTCTGTATCTGTACTTTGTGAACAAGATATTATTACTGGTAACAGTTTCGGTATACGTTATAAAGGGTGCATAAAGTAGTTAACCAGTCAGGTGGTTCCTTTCTGTGTTCTTATCTCCCATAGTGGCACATTAAATTCCCTGGACATTAAAATTTGTCAGTGTGGTGTTTAATGTTATAATTTTTGTTACCTTTTTAAAATGCAATATCTCAGTCATGTGTCGTTATAAAGTTATGGAACAAAAAGCATCCAAAAGAACAATTATCAGACTTCACATACCTATATTTTAATTTCTGTAACCTTAACATTAAAGTTTTTATATATTTTTTTTAGTAAAATTCTGTGCTTTTGGCTTTTTTCTAAAAAAATATGCTGCTGTCGCCACTGACTTTCATTTCTGTTCAGACCATGTGATCTCACACTTGTGCCTGAGTCATACACATTCAGTATACACTTACTTGACTGGCACCTGGTGTTAGAAATGAAACATGATCATAATAGTAACTGACAAATCTGTCTAGCTACTCTGTGTATTCCTCATTGATAAAGAGAGTTTTTTATTTTCATGTGGGCTTAAGAATTGTACTTCCTTTGTAAGCTCAAGGTTAGCATGAATGATTGAATTGAGCTGTTCTTCCAAACATCACTTCAAAATCGATATCTTTTGCAGACTATGAAATCATTACTAAAACGTTTATACTAGAGGAAACATTGCTGCAACTCAAATGGCAGTTACTGTGAATATTATGTAGTTTTCAATATCAGGCCAGCCATGCATCCTAGGTCTTAGTTTTAGATTAGGCGTGTTTTGTAAAAATTTTTGGGCATACCTATTTGTTTCTCTGGTTATTACTTCATGATGTCTGATGTACAAACCAACTCATGATATTCCAGGGGGTTATTGGGGTCTTCTAAATCAACATTTATACCAGGCTTGCCAGTAAATGGAAAATGTGGTTGCACAGCACCTGAATTTGTCCATACATCTGGTTGCATGCTACTGTTATTGCTGACATTTTCTGCTTCATCAGAGCTGACACTTTGTTTACAACCTAACAGAATTTTCACATTTATTTCACTATCACTACTATATTCACTCTCTGAAATACCGTTCTTGTAACAGTTCATAAAACACCCCCTCATCACTTTCACACATCTTGCTAGAAACTGCCATAATGTTTAGTCAAAAGAACTTGAACCCAGGACATCTATCAAGCAATCAGCAACGTCCTGTCATGCTCTGAAGTAGACAGAACATCTTGCAAGCACAATGTAGTTAGAAACATGTATGATGTCTATAGACGTCATGGCTACTGCGATACACAGTATCACATGACATCTGTAGACATCATAATCACTTGACTGGTTAAAGACAGAGGTGTGATGAATCATAAACTCATATAAAATTTAATACATGTAACACATTATACTGATAATTCATCCCAGTTTTTCTCCATGTTTATATGACCTTCACAAATTATCTTGATATGCTGAGAATATAATTTATTCTCTGTAGCTGCCATTAATTGTTGAAGGTAATAAGAAACTTGATTTTAGAGATGTATGGTGTTGTGATATGGACTGGATTATTCTGGATCAGAATAGAGACCATTGGTAGGTGCATGTGAACATGGTAATGAACCTTTGGGTTCCATAAAATGTTGGGAGATTCTTGAGTAGCTAAGTGACTGTGGCTTTTCAAGAAGGACTCATCTTATGGAGTTAGTTATAGTGTGTTTAACAATGCTGTCAGTAACTCAGATTATATAGTGTCTCCTCTTCCAAAAATTGGAATCATCTTTGAAAATATTTTCAACTTGGTTGTAGATTCTTCTACAAGAAGCCGTGCAGCAAAAGGTTGTTATGGAAGAGCTGAATGACCGTTGTGAAGTCTTAATGGAGCTCAGTGCTTGCAGTTGGGTTAGAGACAGAACGGTACAACTGCAGGCAACATATACAAATCTGCTTACCATAGTTCAGGTTTGTATTTGAAAATATCTGTGTAATGTAAATATTATAGACTCTTGTGACTGTTCTTATTGACTATGCTTTTGGTGATAGTTACACATGAAATAATTTATGATGCATATAATTTTGTATGGGAACAGCTGAAAAGGTAACAGCATACATGATATACAACAGAACATTATTTCATTTTCATTTCATTTCATTTATTTACATGTCAAAAATCCTTTACAAGGTCGTAAGACTCAGGANCAGATTGGTAGTATGGTGGTGCATTAGCAAATTATAATGTTCACAGAATGAAGAAAGAATCTTGTGACTGTTAAACTATTTTCATTGCGTCTTTGCAGCTCATTTTGCTATTCAGAGTGGGGCAAAAGAGAATACATATACATGCATACGGTCACACACTTTGGGGGAGGGGTGCATGCATGTGTACAAGCACGTGTGTGCAGACACTGTTTATGTAAATAAATACAACTTACAAATTTGAACACAGAGAAACTTTGTACAAAGTACATGTGAGTGCGGCCAAATTACTCTTGGAGCTATGTGTAAAACTGAAACATGGCTTCTGCTGACTTCGGCATGCAAACCACTCAAGGTCAGCAAGGCCTCATGCAGACTTTAAGGACTTTTTGAGCAAACAGCAACGCCACATAAACATGTATTTACCTGAATGGAAGATAGCTCTGAATCAGAGGTGACCCCCTCTCCCAACTAAGAAACATATCTGCATATGAAATGTGATGTGTGTATTAATTTGATACAGTTATTGCGACCAAACATGTGAAAGATACTAAATATATGAAAACATGTTACACATTAAGTTAGCTTATTCTTTCTCACGTTTTCTGTCATCATTCCCAACTTCATGGCCTTCTCTGGTGGGGAATGGCAGCTTCTGAATTGTAGTTTTGGTGATTCTTCAGGAATCTCTTAGATCAAGAAACTTTAAATCAGGATGCTGCTCTAATACTGTTGAAACTGCAAATTCATGTGGTTGGATATGGCTACTGTGGGTTCCAGAATTAATATTCTAATTTGTGTAGTATTTAATAATTGTAACAATGAATAATTTAATCAGAGCCACTATATCCTAGAAGTGTTAATAGTAGTGATAATCAGATTATCTAGAATCTAGATAATAATTCATTATAGTGAAAGTGTAGAATAAACTGAATCTAGATGATTTCACTCCATGAAACATCATTTCATCAGTTTGTTCTACACTTTCACTATAATGAATTTTGGTAATTGACATTACTCTTGTTATTTGGATTTCTGTAAAGGGGGTTTTCTGTTAAAGAATTTTTTTATGTGTTACTGTTGAGCCTTCATATAAGCTAGGCAACAAAAGTCATCACAATATTGACTGTTTTTTCTAACATTTGTAGGGCCTTGTTTCCCGAGTGGAGAAGAATTTGTCAGACCACACTGAGTTCATAAAGGCAAAGGAAGAGTTCGATGCCTGGTTAATGCGAGCCCATGGCACTGTGCACGACTGTATTGGCATTGGAGATGAAGCTTCCACAAAAGACAAATTGGAAACAGTTCGGGTAAGTTTTGAGAAGCTTGTTCTTCTTCTCTCACAGTGGTGTTAATGTAAAGCCTGAAAGTTTAGTACTATCTCTTTATCATTTAATAGGTATTATTGTTTTCAGTTTTATGCAGCATGAAAGTGCGGATAAAGAGAGATCAGTTAGAAATTCGGCTGTATGGTTTTTCATATGGAGGAAGTAAGAGATTATACTATATGAAGCATCTTCTCAGACAGTAGCACATATTTAAGTAGATTTCTAAAATTGTATTGCACTTCTTCATAATAATGTCACGTGTATGGTGGTATGTGTGACAAAAATGGCAGGTTCTAGTTTGGATGATTGGATTTATTAACACTTTGGTTACACACTCTCTCTTAATCACACTTAGTACAACGATATCGTTGATTTATACATGCTTCATAATTCACTGTTGCACGCACACAGTCCTCTCTGGGTAACATAACACAGAAATTAGTGCTTCAAATCATTCAAAGTATTACACATAATTAAGGTTTTCAAATCACACTTTCAATCTTCACAGGTCTTCTACAAACTTCCCGTGGCTGTCACTTAAAACACTCAGATACTGACTTGGTTATTCCTGGAATCTTGTTATAAAGCCTTCATGCCAACCACACAGAAAACAGCGTATATTGTTTTAACGTGTTTTACCAAATGATTGCATAGTGATGGTCATGGCACAGACTCCATAGGAGGAAGTCAGTCATGTGATCACTAGTACTGTTGCAGTGTGATGACATTGTGCCTTCATGGAAGCCTATTGACTGAACTGTTGCCTAGAAGTGGGTTGCATAACCTTGTTGAGTGCGCTTACATGACTGACGGTTGTTTACAAGTCATTGCTTAGAAACATTCAGGCCATCCATGTTACAATATATTCATCATCTCATATATAGCTCATGTTTATATGTAGAGCAACAGTTATGGTTTTAAATAAAGAAATATCCAATTTCTGTTATAATTTCATTTAACATCAAAAAGTGTTTCCTTTTTGCACAGGAAAGAGAAGCTGACGTTTTTATTAGTGTACATGCTGACAGAGATGTGTATTCTGATTTTGTATGTGTTCATAGATTACAGTATTTCAGTTAATCATTTAAAGCACAGTGCATCACCTGCTGTAACATGAAAGGACTCTTCATTTTGACCACAATGTGTATTTGTGTTTCATATTTTTCACAGAAAAAACAGCAGTTATTTCCTGAAACTGGATTAACCAATTCATGATGGAGATGTAGCATGTTTTCAGTGATGTAGGAACTGAATATTTTGAATGTTTAGAAGAAACCAGGGCTACATAGGATTAACCAGTTCTTTGCAGCATATAAAACACTAGTGTGTGATGTCAGCCCAGTCTTTTCCATTTTATCTGAATTTTAATTGTGATTTTACTACATTCTATTATATTATGATGGACAAGGCTCTTTAATATTGCTACATTTTCCGACATTGGAAGGAGCCAAGGTAATACTGGTTTCATTTCATGTTACATATTCTGAATTGACAAGTATTGTTTGAAGGTCATTATTAATCTTGTAGTATAGACAGATGAAAATTATAATCAGGATAGAGTTTACAGAATAAACATTGAGAATGCAAGGTTTGAATATCTGAGGTTCTCACAGCAGTGACTGTGGAGATCACTGTGTTCTGAGATGTGGCTCCTGTAGTGTGGTTGATGGTTACCATCATTTTGGAGGAACCTGCAGCCTCCATCTTTGTGTTATAAAAGTCCTGCCATGAAGGTGGAGGCAGCAGTTTCCATTGAAACATCTGTAGATGTGCACTAGTCTACATGATGCAACTTTCATCTTCTTTCTTTCAGCTCGTGTCCACACGCATGACAGAAGGTCAGCATCTAATGTCAGTAATGCAGGATGCCTTTACTAAAGCCATTGACACAACTCCAGCAGACCAGCAGGACACACTGCGTGAGGATATGTCATATCTGCGAAACAGCTGGGAGCAGCTGAATATTGACCTTAATTCAGTCATTGCCCAACTAAAGGTACACATTTTTCAGCAAATTATGTTTGTATTAGATATGTTTGTTATTTTATATATTTATTTATACTGTCTCTTTGGCTGTTATATTTTCAAATTTCTGTTGTTTCTTCTTCATCATAGCCATAATAATCATAATCATAACAATCATCAACATCATCATCATCATCATCATGTCTGGTTTTTCATGAATTGTTTTAATTTGTTTGTATTTAATGAAATTGTTATTACACTGTGTACTATTTTATATCGTTTTTATTGTTTATCTTGACTGTTTCAATGTTTGGAACTTATTTTAATATTATTATTGACATGTTCTATATCCAGGGTTGTATTTCAACCTATGTTTTGGATTTACTGAATTTGAAATAAATGAATGAATGAATGTATGGTCGTCTGGGTTGGAAGACAGTGTACTTTGGAGAGAGCCAAACATTTTGAAGGATCATGTTTCCATTTTCTGGGTAGAATTGTAAGCTGAGCAAGAAATAATCAAAAGCAAGTAATAACCTTAGCCTTCTCCAAACTATACAGCGTTGCAATCCACAAGACCATAATCTTCATAGTCACTACTAGGAGAACCTCAAATCCGCTAGGTAAATAAGATTTCTTCCATTCTCATTTATTTAAAATGTACAATTTCATTGCTGAGGATATTTTCGTTGTACATTGTGTGAAGCATATGGAACAATTGCTGAAGCAGTTAATTGGATTACAACATCCTTTGGCATGTAAGGATTGGCCTGAATTACTACAAATTTTTTTTGAGGTTTGATGTTTTCATGGTGGTGACTGTGAAGATGATTCATCTTCTGGGACTTGATACTGTCTAGTGTGATAGATCATTATTGAGGTTTTGGAGGAATGTGCTGCTTCCATCTTCAGAGTAGTATTCTAGTTGGTAAGAATGCACAAGACTGTACAATGTTGCATCCAGAAGACAATTGTTTTCAATTTGAAATTTGTTTTACTACTGTGTGAAAGAAATAACTTGCATACTATGCAAGAATGAATTTCCTTTTTATCACCAAGAACAGTGCAGTTCAGTTTATTAAAGTGCTCAACAGCAAGCGCTACAGCTACTTCTGCTACTACTACTAGATCTATTACCATTACTAATACCACCACTTTCTTCAATTTGAGGTGAGTAGATTTGTAGTATAATGTGTAGCATATGAGAGACTAATCACAGTTGTATTTGTGTATTCGGCTTCTTAATTCTAGGCTGCAATGAGCAGGTGGGAAGATTACAGTGATTCAAAGTCCAGACTGGAAAACTGGATTTCAGAAATGGAAGAGGCTATTAGGGAGACCCCTGACACTAAAGCAGAGCTTGGGGAAATGAAGACACTGATTGAAAGATACAAGGTAAGTATACATACTCTTCCAGTAACTTTGTTTTATAGAAGTGTAGTGACATGTTTTGTGAACTGCCATGATAATATTAAAGTGGATGGATCCTGTTACCACCTGATCTCATGAATATAAAGCAGGTACATTCCCACTCAAGCAGGGCATTTTGTGACAGGACCTCTTATCTCTGCTGAGGATGTTAGCTAAGGAAAACCTTGAAAATCTCTATCTTTTGAGAGGAAACTACTCATTGCTCATTGAGCTGAACTGCTGTAAGCTGTGGGGTGCTTAATCAAATCCCTGGAATGGGGTAACTAGTTTGTCTGTGACTTGTGGCTCAGTGGCAATGGAGAGAGACTTGCCTTGCCTGCATTGATGTAAATCATCTGTTCCTGCATCATGTATGTTCACACCAGCTGCCACCATGATCAAACCTGTTTCTTGGATGTCTTTCTGACTACATTTTAGCCTCTCTGGATGAGCCTTAGCTTGTTTGAGGAATGGTCTTGTCAGTGATTTTCAGTGGGGGACCCTTGGGTAAACCTTATCTTACGTTTATATGCTAAGCGCCTCCTACAGTAATCCACTAGGCGAGATGGTATGTGGACATTATTGACACTATTTGTAATACAGAATTTGTTAAATGAACTAAATTGAATATAAATAAATGGTGAAACATTGGATAACCCACAGATGTAAGATAAGTTACCATGCCAGCCTTTAAATATTAAATATGTTACATGGCAGACTATTGCAGTAGGTTTTTGTGGAAGTGTGACCTTGGCCTCTTCTTTTGCCAAGGCAATTACAACAATAACAGCCCAGGAACTTTCCGATACCACCTCATATGTCACTGTAGAATTGCTTTACAATAATATTGTATCACTTAGCATATACAAGAAGAAGTGATAACCAAACGAGCGGACCTGGATCACTTGCTGTCAGAAGCTAGTGAGTTGTCAGTGTGGGCTGGTAGACCTGCAGTGCTGGAAGAAGTTCAGAGACTACAGACAAGATGGGATCAACTTGCAAGTGGTAGTGTTTCACGAAGAGAAAACTTAGAAGTGGAAATGAAGGTTTGTATGGACCTCTTACTAACAGTAGTAATAAATTGCAGTAAAGGACTCACCTTTGAAGTTATAAGATTGATGTAAGAAGAGAGAGTACATTAGGAAAACAAAATTTATACCATCAAAACTCTATAGTTTATATACATTTTATTTAACTTAACAGGAATATACAGCATATCATCAATCTTTGCAAGACACAGAGAAATGGTTGCTTCAGATTTCCTTCCAGCTTATGGCCCATAATTCTCTGTATATCACAAACAGAGAGCAGACACAAGAGCAAATATTTCAACACGAGGTATGTTCAGTGCCTGTCACTATTTTTTGTTACAGAAAGTGCTTGTAATGCAGCCATGTCTGAGTTATACAGCTCTATGTACGAATTTCAAAGGTGGACTTTTTGAGATGGTTCCAGTTTTATGGGATTTATATGTTTAGGAAATATAGTTGATTTTTACTGTATTTAAGGATCAGTAATAAAAGAAAAATTACTACCAAGCATAGGTTTGGGAGGCTGCACCATTGTTCAAGCGGTTAGGCGCTGGCTTCCCACTGTGGTGGCCCGGGTTCGATTCCGGGTCTGGTCAAGTGGGATTTGTGGTGGACAAAGTGGCGCTGGGGCAGGTTTTCTCCGAATACTTCGGTTTCCCCTGCACATCTTCATTCCACCCATTGCTCCACAATCACCCTCACCTATCATCTGGGGCTGGTACAATAGGCCAGAAGTGGCCGCAGTACAAGGAACTTAGTCCTACCCCACTAGCAATAAAAAAGAAAAATGAAAGTATAGGTTTACTCTTCCAATTTTTTTTTTTTCATTTTGACAGTATAATATCATTTTACCATAGTTAGAGTTCGTATATATATGTTTCAGGTATCATAACTTGCAGATATTCTTCCATCAGGATTAATTATAAGATTTATTTTTGTGTGAGAGTGTCACTTTTTTTATAGCCAAGGTGATATAGCTTGTAGGAAATAACTGCTGTAAATTTAAAATTGAAATATTAACAGTATACATTTAAATTCCATTTTACAATACCTTCTTTCTCATCTTTGTGGGGAAGAAATAGATCTTCACATTATTTTAATACCTTTTTTATTAACAGTGAATCATTGGTAGGTATATCCCCCCCCCAAAGACCCCTGAGGTGCTATTGTTGCTCTTTAAGGTTTTATCAGTTCTGTTGTGTTACAAGGTTATGAGCATTGCTTTGATGATTTAAATTTTAGCAGTTATAACTGGATTTTCAGAACTGTATTTTTAAGGTATAGAAATATAATGGAGAAAGAGTTAATGCCGATTTTTGCATGGTTAAAGAGGCTTTTCACAGTCCATGTCAATTGCATATTAGATGAATGTATAGTTCTCCAATTGAGTTCCTATTTTATATAGCTAATTTATGTACACAGATTGGCACGTATATCTGTATATTTATAATCAGTATACAGTATATTCAGTTTATTTTGCTTTGTTATTCATAATATCTGATATATTACCACAAGTTTTTGATAGTATACTGTAGTTTCCATAGACTAATGATGTACTAAATAAAATATACCATAAAGTAATTCTTTAGTTGTCCTCATAAATGTAATTCTAGCACATAAGGTGTACCAGGCTTCTTAAGCTTTTCAGCCTCCACTGCTGTCCACTGTAATTGTATTTTAAATTTCAGGCACTCTTGGGGGATATCCAGAAATATCAGGCTACTTTGGATGATGTGAAAGCCAAAGGTCATGGGCAAATTGAGAGGTACATTGGAACAACACCATCGATTCAAGAGACAATAGAGAAACAGCTGTGCAATGTTCAGGACAGTTATAACTCTCTTCTTCATACTGCTCTACAGATCCAGGTATTCAATACAAGCAGTTGAAATATAAATTATTTTTCTTTTTCTTTTGTATCTGTAAACTGAACTCTTAGAACTGTTAACAAAAGAGCATGATATATTGTACTGCTAATTAATATAAAATGGTAACAAATGTTTGAGAAGTATTATATTTTGGAAAGCATTTCAAACATAAATTGTGAAAATCATTGTAACAGAAAGCAGAAAATGGATAATTATTTTATGTTAACTGAATTTGCTCTCAGATACAGACACATTGTTTTTACCTACTTACTGAGTCAGTACTATCAACATAAACTTTATAAATATTGTATGTTCCAGAACCGACTGCTGGAGTCTTTGGCCAAATTCCAGGAATATGAAGATACTTTGGAAAGTATAATGAGAAATCTTGATGACTTTGAGCCAGTTATCAATGAAGAAGTTGAAACTCCAGTAAACCTAAAACTGGCACAACAGCAACTTGAAACAGCTAGGGTAATGTCATTACCAATAATTGTAACTGAAGTTTGGAGTTATAACCCTATTACTTTGCATCTCAAAAAGAAATTGTTCTCTTAACTTCCAGAATGCATCTCTTTTGTGAATGGTGAAGTAGAACCAGAAAGCTGTAATTAATCTTACATACTGTTGTATTCATTTTATGAGGACCCTGTTAGGCACTGACTCATGAAGCTTAGTCTTCTTGTGAAGCCAGTGGTCACTTGGCCAACCAGCAAATCCCTCGTCTTCTATGGAACCCAAAAATGCATTGCCATGTTTATAAGCGCTGACCACTGGACTGTGTCCGCACTGAAATTAAATGCTCACATGCATTCCAGTTGATACAAAAATTATATTGCTGTTCTGGTAAATATTGTGACATATTGACCCACTGCTAGGCAACAGCTCAATAAATGTGGTCCCACAAAGGCAGATTCTTGGTAAAGAGTTCAATGCTGGGTAACACATACATAGCAAATAATGGCCATGCCCAGTGCTAGGCAACAGAACTGTAAACATGTCTACAATAATAGGTGTTTTCTTTGGGTATGTGCTGAAGGTTTATAGGGGACAGTGGAGGTCATTTGCAGCCAGTCATAGCTGAGAAGCCATGAGTTGCACTGAGTAGAGAATTCAAGAGACTAGAGACTCTTCAAGATCCACGCAACAATAAGAGATTCGTTATCAAGAAGGAGTTCAGTGTGTGTGACTTCTTGTAATCATGGGTAGTTGTCATAAACATCCAATAAGCGAAATCATCAAATCTATAACTCCCAATCATTAGTTACACTTACCCCTCATACATGACAATATTGTACAGGATTAATTTTCAAGTTGTCTCAGTGCATCTTGTAATAATTTATAACAAAGAATGAAAATGTGTAATACCTGGAAAGGCTCAAGTAATATTCCCAATTTATACTACAGATCTTTCATTTCATGTAAAATATGAATGCCAGATGCTAAAAATGAACCTAGCCTCCAAAATATTGCTAACATATATAATGAAATAAATATAAAATCCAGTCTTTATCTCCACAAAGGTGCAGATGTTATATGAAAGACCTTGGTCTGGATCATTGGCTTTCAGCCTATGAGCTGTTGGTGCCATGTTTGCTTGCTTGCTTGCTCGTGACTGTGCACTAAAATTGATAATGGTTGAATAAATACAGAAAACAAAGTGTGAAGCCAAAAATCAGCCATCTTGTCTGTGTAACTTTTCATATGTTGGTAGATTATGCATTGCCTTGAAACTTATATATCTTCCTAATTCACTTGTCATGGATCAGACATGTACTAGCAGTATCTCACAGTATGAAATATTTGTTTTACAGAGTCTGCACAACAAGCTCCAGATTGAAAAATCCCGTCTTGCTGTGGCTGTACAGGCTTGTGAAGCTGCTGCTGCCTGTATTTCTCGACCCAGCAGTCCACAGGATACAGTGCCACCCCCCATTCCTGATAGAGAGCTAATAGTGAGAGCAAGACTAGAAGATATGATAGACCAGGTATTGTTATGCCTTTTCTCCACCATTTCAGTTTCTGTAAATAATTACTGCTGCCCTCAGGTAATGTATGAAAGAATTCTGTTTTCATTTATATGAAAAGTGTAGTAGTATCTTGTAATGTAATGCATTAAAAGTTTCCAGCAGATAGAAAGTTTCATATATTTGAGTGAAATAGATGAAAGTATGGCATTGTCATTTTTGTTAGCTACACATATGGACATATTGACCACTTCTTAAAGTGAAAGGTTTGCTGACATTTTTGTTGATTTTAATTATACACTTAACAGTTCCATTGTGCATTACTGTAACACATGAAGAAACTTTAGAGAATAATTTATATAAAGATAGTTATTTGACAGAATTGAGTGTGTTTAAAGAAAAAACTAATTCAAAAAGAATTTTGAAAGTACAGGATGGGGCGTAGAAACTTCCTTTTTGTGAAGGGAGGGGAGGTCACAGGAAAGTTGGGATAGGCTCGGTGAACGCAGCAGTTGCAGAAGTTTCTGTTTAATACCCCTCAGTAGGAAACATGAGGTGGACGAGTGAGCAGCGTGTGTTTGCTGTTGAAGCGTATTTTTCGAACAACCATTCCTACATGGCGGTGCAGCATGCGTTCCCTACTCACTTCGGAATTAAGTCCAGAGGTCTGGTTCCTGACCGGAAATCGATTGTTTTGTGGGTAGAGAACTTTAGGACAACCAGGAGTATGGGGAAAAAATCATCAGGATGACAATGGACCGTTACGACGCCAGAAAATGTGGAGGCAGTTCGACAGTTGATTTTGAGATCTCCAAGATGCTCAGCTCGCAAGCATGCAGTCGCCCTAGACATATCAAATCGTTCAATGCGCCAAATTCTTCATGAACATCTTCATTTCTATCCCTATAAGATGGCTGTTATGCAAGAATTGTCACCACATGATTTCCAGAACAAATAATGGCGTGCGAAACATTATTGGAAACTTTACCCCCTGACACACTTGTTTTCTTTAGTGATGAGGCACATTTTCACCTATCCGGATATGTCAACAAGCAGAATATGTGCTATTGGAGTGGTAACAATCCCAGAGAGCTCCATGAGAGGCTACTTCACAGTTATAAGGTGACAGCATGGTGTGCGTTGTCGAGGGTTGGAGTTATTGACCCTTATTTTTTTGAAGAAGACAACCGTGCAGTTACTGTCAATTCACAGCGGTATGTGGACATGATTTAAAACTTTTTCGAACCAGCTCTTGAAGAAATGCATCTAGGAAATATCTGGTTCCAACAGGATGGTGCCACGGCCCACACAGCCTGAGCTTTGATGACAGTTTTGAGGGCAAAGTTCCCTGGACAGCTCATCTCGCTTCGAGGTGACATCCCATGGGCAGTGCACTCACCTGATCTAACGCCCTGTGATTTTTTTATGAGTATACCTCAAGGCAGAGATTTTTAAACATCGCCCCACAAACCTGCTTCAGCTGAAGAATGTTATTCGGCAGTAAGTAGCCCAAATTCCGGTGCACATGTTGGAACATGCAGAGGGGAACTCCAGAAAACGGTTGCATTAGTGCATAGAGAACGGTGGCCACCATCTTCAAGATATTTTGTTTAAAACTAAATGATTTAAAACTTGAAAGTATGTTCTTTCATTAGCTAAACATAAATTTTTGTCTATCAGCAATAATTTTTCTTTTATTCGCCTTCAAAAAAAGGAAGTTTCTGCGCCCCATCCTGTACTAGGTGCCATTTTGAGCAGTATACATGATCATTTTTCTTTATATATACACATCTTTTGACTTCTTTTGGTGGCATGTACTTTGTTTCTTTATTGGCATCTTGTTTCATGGTATATAACTAAAGAATTACTAACTAAAATCAGTGGCAGAAGTACAGAAGTGGTAAGTGAGTATGTTCCTTGCCTAAGAATGAATAATTTGATTTTATATTTTCTTTAATTGTTGCAAGAGAGGCAAGAGGAGAGAAGAGATTATGAATTATTTTATATTTTTGTATCTTAGAGATTCTTTAATGCAGTTCAGGCATCAGGAAAGGATTTAATCATTTAGTAAGTAGGAGTTACATACAGAGCAGTCAGGTGAGATGCAAATATGCTGCTTGTTTTCACATGGTGGTGGTGTATGGCATTACCATAGCACAGAGGTTTCCCCTTCATTGGATGATTACTCTATATAAACGGATAGCCATTACTGATTACTACAGAAAATGCTACACAGATTTACAGTATTTTACAAGGATTTCTAGAATTGACTGCCTTCTGCCTTCAAGCATGCCTTGCAGCATAAAAATAAGAAAATCATAATACCAGTCAACAAATGCAATTACACAGTGTAAAATGAGTGATGTGATGTACTGTAAGTGCATGGCTTCAAAAAATATTTCAAAATTTGTTTTTGTGTTGTAAGGCATTCTTGAAGGAAGAAGAGGGTCAGGTCTAGCAGTTCTTGTTCAAGTAGATTCTACATGGTTCTTGTGATGGTGGATGACACACAGAATTTACTGGGTTTTTGGACTTTTTCAATCTTCCAGAATTCTAGGTAATAGAGGACACTCTAGGTGATGGAGGACATGATGTTTCGGAAACTGGATCTGTTTCCATCTTCAGGTGAGAAAGGAAGACACCTACTCAGTTGGGCCCAACTGAGTAGGTGTCTTCCTTTCTCACCTGAAGATGGAAACAGATCTAATTTCCAAAACATTGTGTCCTCTATTACTTAGAATTCTGGATGATGGAAAAAGTCCAAAACCCAGTAATACTGTGAGTTCTTGTACAGTATGATAGTTTTGTATCACTTGTTTACAGTAATTTGTAATGAAATAGTGTTTAAGTAGATAAAGTTAGCATCCAGTGCATGGATAATTTGTGCATTCTTCTGTGAACATTCACACAGTGAACTGCCTCCATACTTCAACAGGCAGCATGTTTTCTTCTCAGCTGAATGCCCTATAAATTATAAATAGAAAGTATCTCTCTTCTTTTTTTTTTTTTGGTAACCTCTTCTGCCACTGGTCAGTAACACATGTTGCATTGTGGTGTGATTGATGTTATTGTTTGCTTATTTACACATTTATCCACTGTATGTTTTGTAGTAGTAGTATTCTTTTTTTTCAAATCACAAAGTTGACCACACAAATATGCAGAATTTATTCCTGTTCAGTCTTAATTGGAATAAGTGTGTTATGTGACATGAAGTATGCTGAAAAATAGTACAAGTAGCCTTTTGATCAAAAGACATTGCAGAAATAAATTGAAGTATAAATGGTAGAATTTGTAATAGGTATTGTGAAAAATTTCCAGCAAAGATAAAAATAATTACTGCATTTTATGTTGCCTGTAATGTAACAAATCATAACTGAAGAGGTTTGTTGAAAATATTGAGCATGTAAGGTGGGTTGAACATATAACAAGCTGCATCAAGCGGATTATCCTCGAGAAGACATTAGTTTCTTAGACCAATTCTCTGCCATTTCTGGAACCTGAAGGTTTATTACTGCATTCAAAAGAGTGTGAATGGTCCCTATCCTAAGTTAGATATATTTAGTCCACATCATTAAATTTTTCTTCAGTAAGGTCCATTTTAATATTATCCACTCATCTATATCTAAATTCCCCAAATGATCTTTACCCTTTGTGTTATCTAATATTTTATATGCATTTCTTGTCCCTTCCATGCTTGCTACATGCTACATCAATCCACTGTGAATTGATTATCCAAATAACCCTTGGTAAAGAGTATAAATTATGTATCTCCTCATTATGCAATTTTTGTCAGCCTCTTGTCACATCCTTTCTGTTAGAGCTAAATATTCTCATCACTGTTTCCTCGGATACTCTTTATTCTTCCTTAAATATGAGTCACCAAGTTTCACACTGATACAGAATTGTAGATAAATTTATAGTTTTATATCTTGTAATTTTTACATTTTTAAATAGCTTGCAGAAAGACAAATGATTCTGAACTTAATGGTAACAGTCATTGTGTGTGATTTATATGTGAATAAAATTTTTATTTGTTCTTGTTTAAAAATATTTAAACTTTTCAACATTCTTTTTTCATTTATTAGCTATGATTGTATTGTGGCTTAAATATCTTCCAATATCTTTGACAAACATAAGAATTACTAGAGGTTTATTTCATGAACAGGCGAGGGTGTCAACAGGAAGCAAAAGGCTCTTCTTTGTTATGATTGCTATATTACTAGTAAAAGTCTATTTAGGGTATGAGATGTATACAATTTGATATCATAAGTCTTATGATCATTGTATTGTTATCTGATTAACTTGTCTCACATAATCTGAAATATATGAAAATATAATATTCAGAAAATTTTGATACACATGTTTAAATGGATGTCAGTGGTATGTGATATTTTGCATAGTTCACATCAGTTCAGTAAGAATTTTGATAGCATAACATTTTATAAATTTTAAATAGTAATAATTCATGCTCTAAAGATATATTACTGCATGTTAGCCCATATGTTTGCATTTGACTTACACACTGTAAACACATTGCATGCTACTGTAGAAAATAATCTTCAAGGTCTCTTAGCATTTACACAGTGTATGTGTGGGAGGAATGTATAAAATACAGGAAATTATTGCATTTTAGTTTCAAAGTGTTAGTATTTGTCTCTTTGCCACATTATGATGAACAGTTCTGGAGCCGTGCCAGCCTTCTATCCACTGGGTACTGAAAAAGAAGTGATAATTCATTTTGAGGCTATTCAGCTATAATTGTTTCAACTGTAGAGGTTATATAATGTTGAATGAAATGGTGAGATGAAAAGAAATGATGAGCAGATATGGAAATGGAAGGAGGTAGCTATGGCCAAGATTGAAATGTAGAGCATTATCATTGCACTTAACCTGCGTTGTGAGTGTAGAAGTGAGTGGAATGTGGTATTGACAACTCACCTTAAATATTACTGAAGTCTGATGATACACGTTAATGATACCCATACATCTGTATAGGTGTTAACAGGAGTACCATAAGTGAAAACATGTTTGTGGAGGTGGTGGCATATGTGGCAGTAATAGGGTAGCAAAAGTGAATTGAACACCTGAATTGTCATTTCATAGGAGCATTATGAGACAACTAAAATATCGACTTCATAATCTCATAAGAAATTTATAATATGTATTATTGAATGGTTAAAATATGGGTTGCTTTGTTGTTAACATGAAACTTCTTTGAAAATAAAATCTGCAGTAATTTCCAGAAAGATGAATTCCATCTCTCACATACATCAGAGATTTTAGATTGAATAAATGAATCTTTCACTCTCCATTCTCATGCATGAAATGCGTGTTACGCCTGTAAATATTAGCATGTTTTGTATGTTACTTGCATAGCAACATAAAGACAGTGCAGAAGAGGAACCCAGTAGTAGTGAGAAACTGCAACTTCTTCTCAAGAGTTCGGAGTCACAAGGTTTCCTTAGCAAGTTGAACAGTATGACTGACAAGGTAAGATTTAATACTTATTGGCCAGAATATTACAGCACGCCTAGTTTCTCAGTGAAGAATTAAACTGTAATTTGTTAGCTAGAAATAGTTGTGACTTAAATACCATAGCTGGAAGGAACCCTTACCTCTACACCATTTTACATGAAGAGACCTGCAGATTATTGCCTAATCAATCGTTATTTCAAGTATTTGTAAGATCTTCAGTAGCATGCATGGTTTAAACCTTCATTTCACTTCATCCAGATTGTTTCTATTAATAAATAAATAAATAAATCATCAGTTCTTTTTAATGAACCCAGTAACAGAAAATCAGATGATTTTGAAAACATGTAATTCAATATATAGTGAGAACATGTAAGAATTATGTCCAAGAAATGAGGTTGTAGACATATATAATGTATACTTAACAGGCACATTCAGCATGAATAATTGAAAATGAAAGAATTAAAACCAGTATTTATAACCTCTTTATTAACCGTCACAACACAACAAATATCAAGATCAGTGCCTAGTTTCAGCTCTGCTACATGTTTCGTCTATCAATAGCCATCATCAGGCAAATACACGGTTAACATATTGTGACATGTTGCACAATGGAGGGCACCCCCTCCCTACCCAGCAGGGACGTGACAGCTCTGGCCACGGTGACATGGCGGG